GATAGCAGCTCTGGGATGGGCTAATCTGGAGTCACGGTGAATTCCTCATTTGCTTTTTTCTCTTCAAAAATTCCACAGTAGGAGTGCAAGGGCTTGAGTTCAATCCCTATTTCTAAAAAAAAAAAAAAAATCCACAGTGGGGCTGGGGAGATGGCTTGGGATCTACGCCTGCCTGGTAAGCACAAGGACCTGAGTTTGATCTCCAATACTGCATGCTGTGCCAGCCCTGCACCTGGCCACCAGGCATGATGGCACAGCCCTGTAATCCCAGTGCCGGGGAGGCTGAGACAGGAGGATCACTAGAGTCCGAGCTGCGTAGCAAGACCCTGTGCCAAACAAATAGATTAAAAAATAAACGAATTCCACAGTATCTGTCACTCTACGAAGTTGGAGCCTGCAGAGCCAGGTCAGTGCTGAGTTCAGATCCACACGGTCCCAGCATGGCTAGGACTGCATTTAGTGCCAGGGCCCTGGAGATCGAGGCTTTCAGGACGGGTCAGCTTTCCCCGGCCCCGTGCTTGTGTGGTGTTTTCCCTGCAGCCAGTTGTGCCAAAAGCATGTTTCCTTCTCTCTGGTGATCTTCATTCAGTAGCACGTCCCCTGTGCACGGTACGTCTGTAGCCAGCCAGTGACCGCGACCGATGTCGTTAGTGCCAAAGCAAATCAGTAAGAGACTGGTATAATTATAGGCCAACACTTGCAAAATAGCACACGTTGCTACATTTACATCAGCAAAATTTGACATAATAGACTTGGTAGAAGCCCACTTGTGGTCTTCGTGAACACAGCCGGAGACTTGCTGGCTGAACTCCCAAGTCTTGAAGCACAGGTGTGGCGCCTGTGGCCCTACACGGGTGCAGGCTCCAGGGGCAAGTTGGCCCCAGCCTCGAGGCTCCACAAGGAAAAGAACTTTTGCAGGAGAATTCTAATGTCCTGCAAGAAATGGGCAAAGGAATGAAAGTGGCTTAACGGAGATCCCTGCAGCAAACTTCTGTCCATCGCCGGCGCTTCTCTGTGGGTCGTGTTCCCAAGGCCAAGGGCCCTACTGGTCAGGACGGTTCTGAAGCCAGAGCTCCCAGCAGATGCCCTGGGTAGTGGCGCCTCTTCCCAGGTCAGGCACCTCGCCCTGGGATCCTGCTCCTCAGGAGGGAAGGGCCCTGCTGTGGCCTCCTGCCTTTAGCGTGGGGTTCAGAGAACGAGCCACCATCTTTTCCATTTCTTTCCAGATCCAGTCCCTTTGGCTTGAGCCAGGATGACTCCTGAGGCCGCTGTGCTGCTGAGTTGCTGCGAGTGTTTTCTTCTGGCTCCAGCTTGTGCAGGGCCGTGGTCCAACACTGCCTCGCTTCCCAACAGGGTCCACTCCAATTGGTACTGCCAGTGGTTCCCCCCACTGGGGGTGACAAGCAGGCCGCTCAGCTTGGCATTATGGCTGGAGATCATGGCTTTCAGGACAGGCTCCTGGAAAGGGCAGGTAGGCTTGCATCCTGATGGCTGTGGACATCGGGACAAAAGGCACACAGAAAGCGGCAGCTCCTTCCCTGGCCAGGCCTTCTAAGCACCAGAACTCTGGTTTCCTGGGGTCAGGACAGGCAGTGAGCTACAGGAGACCTTGGCCTGGGCTTCCCCCGAGTCAAGCGCTGCAGTCAGGATAGCTGAGATCCTGAGCAGCAGCAGCCAGACTGGGGCCCAGCCGTGCCAGCTTGGGCAGTGTGCCCTGCAGGGGAAAGCAGGGGTTGGAGGTGACCAGGCACAGTGGCTGACGGGGCTTCTCATTCTTGGCCCTTCCCAAGTCGTCTTCCAGCAGTGGTCACCTGGTGCCTAACACCTGCGAGCTAGCGACTTCCACTGTGTATCATTTGCACACTACTCCTACCACAGCATGTCTGGTTCAGCTTTTCTTCATGAAGTGGGCGTATTAAGTGACTCGCTGTTTCACCTGCTCTGGAATTGGTTTCTCCATCAGACCCTGGGCACTAAGGCTACACAACACAGCCCCAAACAGGTGCATCCTGGCGACAAAGTGCCTGGGAGCAATGGCTCGGCTGAGGGGTGCCTCTCTTCTAGCGTGAGTTCTGTGAGATCTGTCCCACCTGGGAGGCGGCGGCGGCAGCCCAGCCCAGTGGGCGTCAGAACATAAGCTGCTCAAGTGCCTTTGCCTACGACACAATCGCTGCCACTGCTTTAAGAAGTGCAGCGCAGGCTTCCCATGTCACCCACCGCGAGGAGAGGAAGGCAGGGAGTGGCAGATGTGTGGAACCCAGAGACTGCCCCACAGCCGCCGTCAGGAGGCCTGTGTACTCCTGTGCCGGGCGTCGTCGCTGCACCCACCCCAGGGGCCGGGGGCAGGGGTGGCGGGCACAGTCCGCGTGGGACGCGGCCTGCATCTTCTCCGGTGTGCGCGGGGCGAAGCTGCCTCAGCCTCAGCTGGCACCGGGAACAGCCTGGGTTTCTGCCCACAGCACCCCCTCACCCTCTACTCCCACTAGGGGCTGCTTTCCAGATGAGGAAAGCCCCAAGGCAGAGCCGATGGCTGCGGGGAGAAGGGGCTGCTCCCTGAGGCCCCGCTGGTGGCCGCAGCGTCACCAACCCAGGACACGGGAGAGTCCAGCCACTGCAGCGCCAGGTGCAAGGCATACTGCAGCCCGCGTTCCCTGCTCACTTCGAAATCATGACTACAGATCACAAACTGTGTTTATTCAGACAAGTAGAAAACAAGTGTGTATCTTTATAGATCTTGCTAATAAATTTTATTCGGACAAGAGAACTTGTGCCACGACCGTTCTGACAGCATGATTCAGGACTGCAGCACTCCTGAGTGGCCGCACAGACGCACAGCGTGTGAAGGAAGTCGCATCTCAGAGCTGACCATGATCCAGTCCAGAACACCCGACAGCCACGCTGAGAAAGTTCCTTCCGGTCATGACCAGCATGAAAAGATCAGGACAGAGATACTGAGCAAATACTCTGCCAGAGTGCACAGCAATATGCTGCATTTAAGAGTTAAAATCCGATTCTACCTTAGTGTTAGCATCAAGCCCTTGGGAGAAATCCACGCAAATCTCGTTTGTACCCATCGGACATCCCGCAGGCTGCGCCGGGCAGAGGGCTAATACTGAAGGTCTTTCCCGTCCGTCTGTGTGCGACGCTTCTGGCTGCGAGAATTCATTCATCCAGGAGAGGGCCGTGCAGGTCTGTCCCACCCACGAGGAAAATGTTCTGCCCTTCGAGTGTCCGTCAGGAAGACAGGAAGTTAAGGCTTTGGTGACAGTGAGAATCCGCTGAGAAATGCTTTTCCCTCCGGGCAAGGTAAGACAGCGCGGGTACTTGCTCTTGACTGTGACCTCGAGGGGCGAAACCCGCCCTGCTGTTGCCATCACCCCACGGGACGTGGCCCGAGGCTGGGGCCCACTAGTAGGTGGACGAGGCCGTGCTCATGGCGTCTTCGGAGATTTTGGTGCTGGCGGGGTGGGTGCTGGCAAAATACTTGACATCGCTGTCGGGGTCCATCTGCAGGGCCACGATGGTCTGCTCCACAGCCTCCTGGTGGCAGCCAGCAGAGGCGAGGAAGTACTCTGGCAACAACACAACAGCGCTCCGGTTAGTCTGAGAGGTGGGCGTTAGCCTGAGGCCGAGTGTGCCGGGTCCTTCGTCATTACACACAGGACACTGCCAGCCACACGGAGCCAGCGGGGGCTGCGGGATTTCTCTGGGTTGTCTGTACGGCCCGAGATCCCATGACTGCTAGCAGGCACTAAGGAGCGCGTAACGCATGTGAATTAAAACATGCGGCTTCTCAGCAAAGGAAAATGCTTCCGAGTGCGTGTGTGGGCTTGCTCTCTACCTCTCTACAAACAACCCAGCTGTCCCTAGCCGTTGCATTTTTGGTGCTCTAAAAATTCACACGATGGCAAGGAGAACAGCAGCAACGCTCTCCGGCTGCCCTCCCCGGTTCACGCAGCAACTGTCAGGGCTACACTCGACGTTCTGGGGCTGCAGCGCACACGCCGAGCCTGGCTTCTGCCTGCAGCCGCGCTGCACCCGGGTGGCTGCACAGAGACGCTGCCAGCTGTGACAGTGCTGGCGCGGGGGCCACCCGCAGTGTCCTTGGGGGAAGCCTGCGAGGAGCTCAAGGCACGCACTTGGCGCCTGCCACCCCTACCTTTCTCGAGGAGCGTCTGCCTCAACGTCTTGGCGAGCAGCACTCTCACGTTTGGAACTCTGTCGTGAGCCAGGGTGAGCAAGTGCGGCATGAGGTGCACGGCGAACTGGTCCATGGGGAGGCAGTCGTCCGCGATGACCGTCTGGTGGAGAGAGCGCCCGTGTCAGCCCACAGCCCGCGCAGCTGGTGCAGCTGTTCGAGAGGCCACTCTGGAAGGCCCATCTTTCAGGTGCTTGGGAAGCGGAGCCAAAGTGCTGTCACGGGGAGGGAGCAACGGCTGGCGGGGGCGACATGTAGTCTGACAGGTGCAGTGTGCTGGCGGACCTGGCAGGGACCCTCGGGGGCAGATTACTCGACTCACAGAACCCAGGACAGCACATGCCACCCCACAGATAGGGACAATTTCTGTGTCAGTTAAAAATGACTATCAAGTGTACACATTTTATAAAAATGATGCCTCCCTGCCTAGGCAGTTTTTAAGCTGCTCCAAGGACGGCAAGGAGAACAGCAACGCCTCCTGCTGCTGTCCCCAGTGACGCAGCAACTGTCAGGACTATACTCGACGCTCTGGGGCTACAGCGCACGCGGCGGGGACACGGGCTTCTGCCCCCAGCCACGCTGCATGCGGGTGGCTGCCCAGACACGCTGTCAGCTGCGACAGTGCTGGCGCCGGGGCAAGGTCCCTGCGTAGGAGCCACCCGCAGTGTCCTGAGCAGCTGGTGCCGCAGGCCTGCATCTCCCAGCTGCATGAGGCCTCCTGTGCTCCATGGCATGTGGCCTTGGGACACGTGTCCACGGGGATGTGTGCCCATGGTGGCACCCACCCCATGGGACACACGCTCCATGGGATGGGAGGGGCGGGGCCTCTCACCTGGCACACGAAGACGAAGGCCTGGCGGCCCGACCAGCGCGGACACCTGCCAAGGTTCTCCACCAGCTCCCGGATGAGGTCTGTGCCAAAAGTTGGCGGTGAGGCCATGTGCAGCTTCTTCACCATCTCGCTGACCTGCAGGAGCAGAGGGACGGAGGAGCACCTGCTCGGGACCCGCGCAGGGCGCCATCGGCCACTTGGAGACATGGTGACAACATACCAGTTTGTAGGAGATCCAGCGGACAGAGGACACCTTGTCTGCACACAGGTTCAGAGCAATGGGGCGCAGATAATCGTAAACATCCCTGGGGCTGTACAGCTCAAGAAGTAAGATTAGCTGTCTACAAAGACAGAGAAAACGTACAGAGTTTGCATGCAGGTGACATCTAAGCACTCTTTAACACGAGGTGCCAAGGAGCCGGCGACGCGGGCCTGTTCCTCTCTGGCACAGGCACCATGCAAACTCACAAATGTCTTCTCCATGCACGCCAGGAGGACAGGGCTGTCAGATTTTCCTTTTCCAGTAACGGGCTGTACCCAGGGTCATACATGCTAAGCAAGAGCTCCGCCCCTGAGCTACATTCCCAGGCCAGCCTTACGGTCCTCCCACCTCAGCCTCCCGAGGAACTGCAAGCGTAGGGCTTTGCCACAGTGCCTGGCGAAAGCTGCAAGCCCGCTCATCTGCTGCATGTGGACATGGCACCCGCTGGGTCATGTGCTGGAAGCCGCCCAGTGTGGCTGTCCTGAGGGGACCTCCCAGAGTGAGCAGACAGAAGTGTGAGGCCTTGTAGGAAGGACTCAGTGAGACCAGCTCCTTTCTGTGCCCCCACAGTGCTGTGTCGCCAGGCAATGGCAGCACCAAGTGGTCAGCACTTTGCAGCTGCAGTCCTGAGCCAAACAAGCCCGCTTCTTTTACATCGTACTATCGTGGGTGCTGCATCATAGCATCCGAAAGGGAACAGATGGAAGACGTGCTGGTTTCCAGTCGCAGCCTGGGACATCCTAGAAGCGCCACCCCCCACTAAGGGGTGTTTGGCACCAGCTGCCCAGCAGGGTGCAAGAACCTGCAGTTCTCTAGCCTGTTGGAAGGGAGCCAGGACTTCCTGTGCCCTGTGCTGTTGCTTCCTAGGCCAGGCCCCTGCCGGAGAGGCGCCCCACCCTGGTAGCCCCACAGAGGACGCTTGGCTGGGTGAGACACAGCTCAGGCTGCAACGGGCCTGCCTGGCGGAACTAAGCCACGTGTCAGTCCTCTTCTGATCACGAACCCTACCCCACCCCAGCTCAGAAAAAGCACCAAGAGATCCTTTAAAAGGCAGATGGCAGGGGCTGGGGAGATGGCTCAGTAGAATAAGCGCTTGCCTGGCAAGTGCAAGGACCTGAGTTCAATCCCCGGTTCCACCAGACTTAAGGGGACAATAGTAGGCTACGGGATGCTCCTTGGGCCCTTTGCAATGGAGATCCCAGAGGGACCGAGACCCTGCTGGCAGGCGCGGTGCAGGACAGCAGAAGGCTGAGGCAGGAGGCTACTGCTAGAGAGTCCTGTAGCCCCAAGCAAGAATGAAGGAGTCAGGTCACCCACACCAATCCTGGACTCACCGTGATGGCAGGCAGGACCCGGGTGAGGGGAGGGACACCAGACTAGCACCAAGGTCACTGGGCATAGAAATCTCAGAGGACATCCCAACAGTCAGGGGAGTGTGTAGGACTTACTCAGCCAGCTCGGCCCGGAAGCGCCAGTTTCTACTATTGTCTGTCACCAAAAACTCCTGGAGTTGATACAGATATTCTCTTCTTTTGTCAATATGAAGAAGCTAAAATAACAACATAATAATATTTTTACTTAATCATGGGGCCAGCCAGATAGCTCAGTGGACTAAAGCACCAGCTCAGGCAAGCTCAGAGACTGTGGTTTGGTCACCATAATCCCAGTGCTGGGGAGGCTGAAAACAGGAGGATCACTATGAGTCCGAGCTGGGTAGTGAGATCGTGCAACAACCAAATACATTTAATAAAAAACAAAATTTCTTACTTAATCAGGACAAAGCATAAGCATCATTCCCTTTACAAGACTGCTTGAGAAGGGACCATAAGAGGGAGAGCAATTCTACCGAACAAGAGACTTCCTCGGCTCCTGTGCTTAATGAGTTTAAATTAATCAGCTAATTCCCCTAAAATCCCTTCTGCCTTCGAGTGCTGCTGCCTCCTACAGGCCATCCTAGGCGCAGTTCATCCTAACTCTGTAGTCTGGGTATGACTGTGGCTCCTCATCATGAGTCTGACCTGGGCTGGCACTGTAAGCACACCCCACGGGCAATTGATGCACACAAGTGAAAAAAATGCACCCCAAGAACTGTTCTACCCAAACAGAGAATGGGTTTATGTCACTGAGAGAAAGCCCCCCACCCCAACTTCACCAGCTACATAGTGGGCCCGTGAGAAAGCAGCCTCACCTGGCCCAGTGCCCTGGGCACCTTCTCAGAGCATGGAAGGCAGCCTGGCCACCACTTAGTGCCACAAGGCTAATGGGACTGGGGACGTCCTAGCCCAGCAAATGCCTAAGGGCACTAATGCTACTTCTGCTGACTTTCCTCTTGAGAAAGAATATAAAGCAAAGAAAAGGGTGGCACTGGAAGTAGTTCCTGCCAGTGTGAACTAAGGCGAAGAGCAGTGGGTGTGTCTCCCTGTGGACACCCCACGCCAGGTGTGCTGTGACTAGGTCTTGTGATTTTGTGTATCAGTTAACAAAATGAACACAATCATGCAAAACCAGACCAAAGCACCCGAGTGCCCACCTCCGGAGAGGGCCTAGCGCAAGGACTCGGGCGCACAGCACACAGAGGACTCAGAGTAGCACCTCGAGGAGGGTTGCAACCCCAGGGCTACAGGGGCAGGGAGGGAAGATACCCAGAGGACAGCTTCTAGGGTTCCCACGACCCAGTGTGACATTTTCATTCATGACAGGAACAGGAAATCCTAGAATCTACGCCAACATCACAAAAAAAATTTTTTTAAAGTATATATTTATTTATTTATTTATTTTTATTTATTTATTTATTTATTTTTTTTTATTTATTTATTTATTTGTTTGTGTGTGTGTGTGTGTGTGTGTGTGTGTGTGACCAGCTCAGCCCACCAGGGGGCGGGGCTGGCTGGCATGTGGTGCTGGGGGATTGAACCGCGGTCCCTGTGCTTTGCTAAGCTTGTTCTAAGTAGGTGCTTTAGACCACTGAGCCATCTCACCAGCCCAACATCACAAAATTTTTAAGAGAAGCAGCTTTGCTTGCATGAGGACACAAGGCCACAAGGCCACTCCAGTGCCTACATGGGAGCCAAGGCTGTGCATGAGTGGCTCTGGGACAAGGGCCCCTGCAGGACCCGGGACTTCACTCAGGAGGGCAGACATTGGCTCATGTGGAAACACTGAGCTGACATCAGGGCAGCCCTGCGTGACGCCTCTGCAAAGACCGAGGGCAGCCCACGCGGGTGCTGAGCTCGCCAACAAGCCACTGTCAGCAGCATCAAGGGCCCCAGGCATGGAGAAACCACATCCAGGGTCCCTGCAGACACCCAAAGGTGCAGCAAACTGGGGTCTGGTCTCAGCCTCTGCAGTAAGAGCAGTGTGTACATTCAATGGAGTTTTTTCCAAGATGAGACAAAAGCCATAAGGAACATCAAAAGAAATTTCAATATGTTCTATATACAGTATCGCAACCCTTTAAACAACAGAACTTGATTACTTCTGTAACCTAACGCTTGGTGCTATGGAGTCAATTCAAGGTGGAAGTCTATGAAGAAGCATTTCTAGCTTAAGCCATTTGTCAAAGGCCAGACCCTTCACGGGACATGGGGACCTCACGGCAAAGGGACGAGAACCCAGGAGGACCACACATGGCCTCCAACTGAAGGCTGTGGATGCTTCTAAGGTGTTCCGGTTGTATTTTATACATATAAATGTATTTCATATTTATATTTGTTTATATACATTTATAAAATACATATAAATGTATTTTATTACTATCCTGAAAAGAAAAAAGGCACAGATATGCATTTCTACAGCCTAACATCATTTAAAAATGAACTTCAGCATAATTATTTTTAAGTTTAAAAATTACAACAACACCACGAAAGCCTGTTTTTCTCTAAGGCGAATCTGGCTGTCATCGCACTGGCTTATGTTCTTACGAAAGAGTACAGAGAATCCTGCTATTACCAAAACCAGAGATGTTAGGCTTACAATGTAATTTTAGATGTTTCTATGCCAAAGAAGTTGAAAGTTACCTTCAGAAAATCATGCAAGTGTTTAAGGACTCCTATCCTGACTTCATCGAGGTCTTTTAGAAATCCATTAAAAATTGGAACCAGATCTGCAGCTGTCAGCTGGTCTCCAAGGATGACTGCGAGCTCGTGAATGGAGAAGGCCAAGGTCCTCCGCACTTTCCACTGCAGACACGAGAGCTGCGTTAGTAAGCTGTACCACAAGCGCTTGGGACTTGTGTTATTTTATTCATTCAAAAATTACACCGAATAGAACAGAAGCAATAGACATTAAGTTTAAATGTTGACATGTCAAAAATGTCCCTAGTTCTCTAAATCCCTGCACAGTCATTTCCCCTTTGTTTATGAAGAAAACCATCTTTAGGACTCAATGACCACACAGCCTAGTACCTCAGCTTCCTCCACCCCCACTGACACCTGCCTGTGTCAAAGTCACCTCACACCCCCATGTGACTTTCTGTCTGTCCATCTTGAGTAAAAGACATAAAATTTGTGTGCACAAAAGTGGCAACTTAAGAAAAAGAGGAAAATTGTTTTAGCAAACGGCCATTGATAAAGAATGTGTAAACAAATGAATTAACAGGACTCTACACACACTTGGTAAGCTGGGTGTGGTGACGCACAACTGTAATCCCAGCATTCAGAAGGCAGAAGAGGCAGGAGGATCAGGGTAAGGAGTAGTTCAGGGCCAGCCCAGACTGTATGGGGAACCTCTGTCCTCAAAAAGAAAACATAGGGCCGGGGATATAGCTCCGCAGCACAGTGCGTGCCTGGCAAGCCCAAGGTCTGGAGTTTGATTCCTGGTACCCCCCACACCTGACAAAAAACAACAACAAAGCAAAGACAAAACCCCTGAGCAACAACAAAAAATATCCATTTTCTTCTCAATGCTGCATTAACTTACAAGTTTGACCTGTCAATCTAACTTCACTCATGTGAAGCAGCCCACAAAGAGGCCTCTGGCACCCCTGCTGCACTGAATGTGTGTGCATGAGTTTGCCACCTAAGCCAGGCAAAGGCAGACAGGGGGTAGGGCAGGACAGACTGCGCATGGAGCCTCCCCGACACCTGGGCGCTGCCTGTGCCCAGACCTGTGTCCTGCCTCCCAGGCCTCCAAGGCTGGAGGAGGAGGGTGAGCTCCACTCTCCCAAGATTATTTTCCTGAGTCTAGGGCCCTGATGCCTTGAAAAATGCAGTCAGAGTGAAGGGCAAATGGTGGCTATCTCAGTGTAAGAATCTGACTGACCACTTTCGATTTCACGAGACCAGCTTTCTGTGCAAGAGAAGCAAATTCTTGGTTCCTGGAACCCAGACCTAAGAGCAGGGGAGGTTTTAGGTCACCAAAGCTAGGAGGAGAGCCTCAGACACGATGCTCACCAGTGTGGGGTGCAGGCCTGCACACCACTCTGAGGAGACTGAGGCACGAGCACCTTAAGCTGAGTCTAGCTTGGGCCACTTGGTGAGGGGCCAGGAAAAAAACTACTTAAAGGGCTGGGACTGCAGCTCAGTGCGAAGGGCCTGGGCTCAACCCCAAGTCTGACAAATTAAAAACACAAGTAAGTGGACTGCTAGCCATGATGGCTCGCTCGCGGGACACTTGCTCTTTGCAAACTGGGGTGGAGTGCAGGGACAGCGCAGCCATGAGCTCAGGGCACACTCGATGCTCAGGCACAGGGCTGCGAACCGGGCAGTGCTAGGAACGCCCCGTTCCATGATGGCCAGAAGAGCTTCTGGATTTGAGGTAAGGGTCTTATGAACAAGCACTCATGCCAGGACTTCTACAGGGACACCATAGCCTTTCTTCTCAAGAACCAGTCCATCAGCCACCTTCACAGTATACGTGTTCTAAGCCAGGAGCTTGGGCAACTCTGTTAGAGCAAAACTGAGATGTCAAACTCCTGAGAGCAGAAAGACAACCCTCTGCTGTGACTCTGCTATCAATCACACACAATTTCTGGTGACACCAGGCGGCTGGGGGAGCCCTGCAGCGGCTTTCTAGGTTCTGCCAACTGACCCACACAGCTGTTTCCTGTCCGACCTCCTTCGCATCCCCACAGCTTGGTGCTCACCTGCATGTCAGAGGCCAGGGTCTCATAGGTCTCTCTCAGGCAGTGCCAGTTCTGCCTGCCGAGGGTCAGGGCTACCCCGGGCAGGCTGTATGCACAGTGCTTGGCGATCTCCGTGTCCACTGTCTGTGCGCGGGAGGGGTCGGTCATGGATAAGTACTGATCCAGCAGAGCCTGAGGCACCACATCCTGGTGGAGACAGAGGGCAGTGTGACAGTGGATTGTGCAGATGTGTCCACAGCCGCTGGATTAAGTCAGGCAGAAGTACTTCCTAGTACGTGGATCTGCATAGGTCTAACACTCATGTACTTGCTAGATGAAGCAAATTAAACACACACTAGGGCAAGTAACACACATAAAAGTAAAAGCAACTGTAGAACCATGAGGAATGTGACAGTAAAGCAGGAAGCAGAAGCTCTGAGAATTGATTACTAAATGGGTACCACAGAAGAGCTGGCATGTGTGCCATGAACATGGAAGGCTGGTCCCCCGTGCGCTGCCAGCAACCGAGTACTCCACAGCAACCACACTCCCCGGAGGGAGATTTCAGCAGTCACAAAACACTGGAGCACACATGTGCACTGAAAGCAGCAGCAGTGGACGGTGTGTGAGGCACATGCACTGCCACGCAGGAGGAGGTGACAACGGAGTGGGACTGCTGTTCTGGGGAAGTGCAGTGGACGAGCGAGAGGAGGGACAGAAGCCTCCCCCTTACCCACGCTATATAAAAGGTAAATTACATGGAAATAATCCATTACATGAATACAGTAATCTGTGTATATTGACAAAGTGTCTACAGTGTAAACGGGGAAAAGTATATTTTAAAATTTATGCATACTAATTCCACGTTTAATAAGAAGATAAGCAAAATTTAAGCACATGTACTATTTGACCTATGAAATCCCCTTCTAATACTAAAAGGGTCCCCAAAGCAAGCCACACATACAAGGGACCATGACACAGGGCCTCAAAGTTGCCTGGGAGGCACACACGACAGAGGAGTGGGCTATGGTGTGCTGGCGGCATCCCAAGGGTCAGGCCCTCGGAGTGCCCTTGTGCATTTTTGCGCATGCGCCCATGAGCCCAGGCGCTCTCCCTACTTTCAAGGTCCTGAAGTGGGCTGTGTGTAACAGTGGCTTCAAGCCATTTTACTTGGTCAGTCATAAAATCAGAGTCACACCTTGGAACTCATAGCAATTTAGACACCTCTGCTAAAACAAAAGGAAGAGTTAATTATTCTTGACAAAGGGCTTTGTTTCCAGTAAGCCTATCTCACTGCAGTGAGCTACACTCTCACTGAGTCTAGCAGATGGACACAGAGACGGCCCTGGCATTTATGGCTCAGGCGTTTATTAGGTCACTGGCGCCTCAAGGACATGAGGTGGTGAGGACTAGGACTTAGAACTTCAGGCACGAGAAAGGCCTGGTGGCTCAGATGCTCGCAGCTGTCCCGAGAAACAGTAAGAGCAGCTCTGATGTACCTCCCAAGCCCAAGGAACCTGCTGGGGCTGTGGCGGGTGGTTTGTGCCTCTGTGTGACTCTTCATTACCTGGATTTTCTTATTCTAAGTGACAGCCTAGTCATCTTGACTCAGTATGTACAAGGACAAACATGGGCAAGAAATGGGCTGCAGAGGAGGGGAGGAGCCAGCACAGAGGGCGCCCTGCTACTTGCCTGCACTTTGGGTCTCCTCTCCTCATCCGGGCTGAAGCTGCTGCTGGTACTCACATCCGAGTCGCTGTGGACGTAGTGAAGCACGGGGTCCACGCTCTGTGAGGAGAGAGCGCTACTTCAAGAGCTGCTGCTGTGTGTCTCTCACTTCCGCTATCTACGAGCCTACTCACCTTCAAGACCGGCCCAGAGACACACATGCATGCAAACACTGCAGGTTTTTATTATATACACATGCCTAAGACCTCATAAGAACTCGATTTAAATCAACTTGCTGAATTCTCAAAAAATGAAACGTAATTTAAAAGTAACTTTGAAAGTAATCTTGAAATAGTCTAGGTTTTCTCAAATTAGCTTATAGTGGTATTGAGAGATTTTCAATTATCTTAGAGGCCACTGGGTGTGATATACAAAACCTTCTACTATTTCTATTCTTGGCTGTTAAACATTATGCGCCAACACCCTCCATACACAAAAAAGTAAACAAAATCCCTCTAAAATGTAGATATAATGAAGTAAGTCAAATATCCAGTAAAAACCAAGGTTTTAGTCCAAAACATTGATATCACACATTTTAAATATACTACGTATCATTTAACAAAAACCAGAAATGCACTGCCAACCCCAGAGTGTAAGTACTCTCTCTCCTAAGCTATCTGTCATTCAAGGGGCCAGGATCTGGGACCACTGCATGATGGCGAGGAGCAGCGTATCTCCCCTGCTCATGGGACACGGGAGAAGAAACAGACACTCAAGTGGTGCTAGCTGGAAAGGGTGCGATGGGAAACGAGGGCAAGAGCACACGAACAGCTACAGCTGCGCAGCAAAGATGATGCCAGAACAGTACCCACCCTCACACTCGAGTCCAGATAATGCCACTGGCCTCCGCAACACGGCCTCAAGTCCCGATCTTCCGCTCAGAATACTGTGTTGCTCGCTGCAGTGAAATGGTCCGATCAGAAACAAAGCACCTCTCCAAAAAGAAAAGGGAAGAGTTAATTATTCTTGACAAAGGGCTTTGTTTCCAGTAAGACTATTTCACTGCAGTGAGCTACATTCACATGGAGTCTAGCAGGATGGGCACAGAAACAGCACTGGCATTTATGCCTCAGGCGCTTCTTAGGATACTGGCGTCACAAGGACATGAGGTGGTGAGGACTAGGACTTAGAACTTCATGCACAAGAAGAGCTGCCGACGGAATGTGCTAGCTAGGAAGTGACCCGCTACAGCGTTCCCCGACAACAGACTCCCAGACTCAAAACTGCTCCCATCGGTCAACACTACTGGGTTCGTTACCTCAACAGCATCGCTGATTAAAGGCACAGAATCATCTTGATTTATTTTACAATTTGGTAGCTCATTTATACCCGGTTCGTCTTGCAGCTCGGCACTCTTTTCCACGCCGACAGCCTCCGTGTGGGTGTCCAGGCCGGAGGCGCGCAGGGCGGCTGACAGCACCTCCACCTGCGCTGTGGGAGAGGAAAGACTGTGAGGGCGCCAGCCCCGGGCGCCTTGGGTTGGCAGGGGCCCGGGTGCTTCCATACTGCCACCCAAGGCTGGAAAAAGGTCTACGACGGTAACCATTAGTCCTTCCAGAGAAAGGAGAAAACTACTACGCTTTCCTGAGATTAAAGTGTGTCCACTACTGCACATTATTCTGCGTTAGTACGAACAGAGAAATGCTACTAGGTGCCGGAAGTACCTCCGGCTTATTAAAGGAATCAATTCAGGAGAACTTAGCCGCGTTGCGGTAGTGACAAGGCTTACTTACTAAGCTATTTTAGCAGCAGAGCAGGCACACAAACCCTGCCAACACAAAACAATAGCAATTACAAAGGCTTCTGAGGCAGTGACAGACATCTCCTCTCATCCCAGCTTATTCTGCTCTAACTCAGTGCTGGCGACCCTTTCAGGGAGGAGTGCCCACACTGCCACCCCAACCCACTTACTTATCGCACAGTGCCAACACTGCAATTAAACCTGAGTGCAGAGGTTTTAGTTCAGGAAAAACAACTCATACGTTAACATCTTTTGTCTTACACGAGTTCCACGTCTGTTCTAACTCTTGAAAATGAAATCATTACCTTGCCCTCCCCCCCGGGGTCCCTGTATGCACTGCCAGGCTCTCGGAGAATCAGAACAACTTACATGCGGTAGTTTCTTAACCTGGTAGTTACTTAACCTGGTAGTTACTACTGCCTTCCTCATGAAGGACATTCAGAACAGAGAAAAAGCATTCCCCATTCACTTCCAAACACATCAGAAATTTATCAAAAAAATAGTGCTTAGCATTTTATCCAAGTAACTTAAGTTGAACATTCAAAATGTGAAAAATTTTAAATTAAGATGTATTTAAACAAAATAATCAAACAAAATAACTAAAGACAACCTACTAATATGCTATAGCAGGGTGCTCGCTTTGGCAGCACATATAATAATAATATGCTACGGTAGGCATAAAATTTCTTCTAAGTACAGCAAGTACCAGGCGTATGCCCGAGGTTCCCTCTGACAGCACACACTCTGGTCAACAGGGCCAGCCGCAAGTGCTCTGTGGAGCACACTCGTCCTGTGCAGCCCGCACAAACCCTTCCAACACTCTGTCTCTCCCTGCTTCTGGGATCTTTCAAGGTTCCCTGTCCAAGCCAACAAGACTCCAGGAGACCACATGCAGTACTTGGCTGACCCATCTCAGAGAGCAGCCACTGCGTAAGAGAACAGTGACAGCAGCTACGCTAGGTGAGGCTGAGGGGGCTGGCATTTTCCCTTTGTGGCTTTCAAGGCCACTTATTTTTCAGTTAGGTTTTATTTTGGGGGCAACTCGGTACTTCCTTCTAGACAATGAGCTAAGACAGAGCCTAGGGCTGACTCCAGCTTCTTGCTACAAGAGTAAGAAGCTTGTGCTGTGGATGTGAGGCACTGTCTGGAGGAACATGGGGAAACTGAGTGCACAGCCCTCTACCCGGCCCTGCCTTGTCCTTACGACATGAACCAAAACCCTAGGAAACAATGATGCATGATGGATTTGAGAAAGATTTGCAAGCAACATGAAATCTGCTGCTGGTTTTATTAGGCTCTTGGATTCTATTCCATGACCACTGCTGAGATCAAGGATGAGTGTAGGACAGTGAATCTGCCTAAGACCCTCCCTCACCTTACTTCACAGAAAAACCTGACTAGACAGTATAGTATGTGTTCCAGACGGATCTTAGCTTTCTGCCCTGGATAAAGTTCTCTCTCTGAGAAACACGGATAGTTCCTTTCAGTTTGAAGGAACGATAGCTGAATTTAAAAAGAAAAAGGTCACCAAAGTATGTTAAATCTCATAAATTCAAACCCTGTTCTGAGGTGAGGAGAATTGAAACAGTTACTTGAGTTAACACGATTAAACACCCTCCAATCCCAACAAAAGCAAACGCTCCAGAGTGCCACAGCCACCAGAGCACAGCTTCACACAGTGCCCCCTTCTGTCCCGCCATCTGCTGTGGACAGGAGCCTGGATCTGTGTGCACTCATGGCCTGGGACAGTCCCCAACCCCTGGGCTAAGGACTGAGCATTTTTAGACAGACAGCAGTGTGTAACAACTTACACTGTACAAGCCCAAAGGTTGAACTAGAAATAATTAGCCACACAGTTTTAGGTCAAATAATACATAGTATTAGCCACTTTTGCCCCTTCAATGTATATGTAGGTCTTTAAAAAGCAAACTAAAGAAAATATTTTAAGTTTATTTGTTAAAAAAGCATAATGTAGCTCATTCAATATTTCAGTTAGTATGTGTAAAGTGCCAGAGAACCAGCCAGTGTTGTTGTTCAATGGGGACCCCCAAAACAGGCTGGAACACTCGCTGGCAGTGCATCTGAGATAAAAACGGAATTTAAGAAAAATGAAATATGACAGTTGCTGAAGTTTGGTGAACATTATACAATTTAAGTTAAGAGCAGTGACAAACAGCTGAAAGCTGTGAAGAAATGAAGCACTTGTCCAAAGCTGCTCGTCTCTGCCATGACCAGCCCACCTCATGTGGGTGCAACTCTCTGCCTGCCTCCCCTTATGGAAGAGGGGGACACCAGAGCAGGACTATGGTCAAAGGAAAAGAAAACCTCAATACTTGCTGTATCATCAAACTGTCACAAAATACAGAGAACTGGCTCGCCGGAGTAAAGATCTCTGACAGGGTGACAAGCGAGGAATAGAGCAGAAGCACAGCCGTGAGGCTTCTGTCAGGACGCGCCATCTGCGGGAGGGGCACCTGGAGCGCCTACTGAGAGCACGCAGCTTCTTTCCTGCTCTAGCTCGGCAGGTGGCAGAAACGCTGGGATACACAAGCACAAGGACGAACCTCAGATGTGCTGTGTGGGCACACCCCGCATACTGCTGGATCTACGTGGGGTCCAGAAAGCATGCTCGCAGGACCGGCAGGCCGGCTGGCGGGGCACATGCCACCTGTTGCCACCTGGGTGACAGGTGTGCTATGGGGCAACAAAACCAAGTCTGACTCTCTTAAACATCACATTCTACCGAAACCTGTGTGCCCACTGCCAGCAGACAGCAGCCTGTCCCTGAAAATGAGACAGTGTCTGCTGCTTCGTGGAAAGGCACACACTGTCCAGAGCAACAGCTAGGGCAGGCTCAAGATTTTAAATTGGGGACCATTTGAGAGGGATTTGTGTATCAGCAAATGAGATTTTAACAGTTAAATCATATCTACCAATCTGAAAAGAAGACAGTTCCTCTGGAAAAAGCACTTCATAAGCCAATTCTAGAGTTGAGAACTTGACCGACTCTGCCTACCTCTGACATCAGGGTCATCGGTGTGGGGCTCTAGGTTTTCTATCATCTCCTCCAGCTCCTTCCTAGTGGCCATGCTGATGTTCGGAGAGCCCGGCGCGAGGTCTTCAGGCACCTCCTCTGGCCTCTCCAGGACGAGGCTTGCTCCAGAGTCCTGCTCCAGCTCAGTGTCCAGATCTATTTCGGGAAGAGGAGTCCTCCAGAAGTGGAATGAGTTGTAGAGTTCCTGGTCCAGGAGGGCCGAGTCTTGGGGAGTGGTGTCAGCTTCCAGCTGGAATGCAGACTCGCAGCCATCAGGCCTTTCACTCTTGTCACCACCAGCTGCTTCTGGGCAGGACTCCAAGGACAAACGACTAAGAGAAGGGCTGCCTGTGGGACGGCTCAGCTCCCATGCACAGTCCTGCGGGGCTCTGGTGCCACTGTCTGCCGGTGTGCACTCCAGCCCGGCGCTGGGGCCGAGGACACCGAGGGCTGGAGGGACGTCCTCTGGCACGCCTTGATTGCCAAGCCTTTTATTATTTCATTGGGAGAAATAAAACCAACATGAAAATATAAAAATGACTACTGGAAATAACAAATGTAACTCAGGTGAATTAAATATTAAATAAAAAAATATTATACACGCAAACAGCACAGTTTATGTACACTGTGTATCACTGCTAGATTATGTACACTGTGTATATCACTGCTAGTTTATGTACACTGTGTATCACTGCTAGTTTATGTACACTGTGTATCACTGCTAGTTTATGTACACTGTGTATCACTGCTGCCCCCCCCAACACTCGGCATGCGCAGGACACATGTGAAGCGCAGGACACATGGGAAGCATGCCATGTGTGACCCTGGGCTCACAGCACAGGACAATGTCTACACTGGGTAAAACAAAACGGGAAGTAGAAAGTTCTACAGTGCATCTTAAGGCACATACATTTTAAGTTATTTAATTTTTAGGGTTCTTTTTACTGCCACTCTGCTCCAGTGAGAGCGAAAGCTGAAGTGAAGCGCTTCTGCTTATGTAAGAGAGGAGGGCAAAGGCGCACAACAAGTACTAAGATATTTCGTATCTCACAAAATGTGTTACAGTCTGCTAAAACACGAAGGATTCTTTCTTTCTTTCTTCCACAATTTTCATCTCTACTCACAAGGGTCTTTTTAAGAAGAAGTCATGACTTTGATGCTAAGGACAAAGGCTTCATGTTCCTAATTAAAACTCACTGATTACTAAGTGCCATTCATTTTGCTTTGTCTGTATTTTATTTGGTTCAATTACACTGAGTAAGCACTTACTGAGCACCTACTATGAGCCAGAAAATAAAATCAGTTTTGAGAACAGGAATGGGAAGCAGATCTTGCTGTAGTCAGGGGCACAGAAGAAGTTTGCAAGTAAGGGCACTCCCAACAGGCAGCGCCGCGGCAGTGAGGAAGTGCTGACTGCGGGTTCCTGCGTGGCTGCGGGAAGAGGACATGGAGGAAGAGCCAGCCCATGAGGCCGGGCTTGACAGGTGCTGTACACTGCACGGTGTTCAAAAAACAAGGACCTCCCTGGGGCTGAGAAGCACAGTGATGCGCAAGAAAGAAAAACATCTTGGGGTCCCCTGTACCCAGAACCCAGAACTTCTCTTACGAGTGGCAGGAAACGAGGACATCTGTTATTCGACATGTTCCTCTGCAAGACCACTCTGGAGGGCCGGCAAGATAGCTCAGCAGTCTAAAATGCCTGCTCAGGCAAGCACACGGTTAGATCCCTGGCACCACATACTGTGCCAGCCCCACCCCTAGGGCAGGCTGAGCCAGTCAGAAAAAAAAAAGGCCATTCTGGAAGCAGCAGAGAACAGGAGGTGGAATTCTGGATGAGATGCTGATGCTTGGGGTTTCAGAATCCACCAACACAACCCAACAGTGCCTGGATCAGACCAACAGCACACAGGGCCTTGCTTCACACTGGAGCAGAAAACACAGCATTAGGAGGCTCCTGACTACAGCCAGGCAGCTGAGCAGACGCTGGTGGCACCAACGAACAGGAAGACTGAGTGCAAATCTGATGGAAAAGCCACCAGGCTCAGGGTTCTGGGGTGCTGGGGCTCTGTGGAGAGCCAGATGGGAAGGTCTATGGGATACTGGAAAGAGAAGAGAGGTGGGGGCCAAGGGCTGAATCCCCAAAGATGTAAGACATATTAATGAAGAAAAACTGGACAACTCCAAAGAACAGCAGAATGAAGGCACGTTTCTTGTACAAAGGGATGGTAACAATGAGCATGTGTTTTGGCTGAGTCTTAGGCCTGAATAAATGGAAGAACTGAGACATGGACACCAATACCATGACAGATCAGATGCTCTTTCTGAGGAGAAAGCACAAGCTCAAGAATAAACAGCAGCAGGACTGATGGTGAATGCCTCTAATCCCAGGACCGGGGGCCTGAGGTAGGGGGTTGACAAGTTCAGGCCCAGTCTGAGCAAAGCTCAGAGAAATCCTGTCTCAAAATAAAAAAAGGCCTGCAGATGTGAAGGCCTTAGATTCCATTCCCAGCCCTGCAAAATAAACATACACACTGGGGGATATCCCCAGGTGAGGCAACACCTTTGAAGAAATGTGGAGGAAGTGCTCACTTTGGCAGTACGTAAATAAAAACTGGAACACCACAAGAGAAGATTAGTACGGTTCCTGCAAATGGAGGATGGCACACAAACTCATGAAGCAGTCCATATTTTACTTAATTTTTTTGGACCAAATTTATATTTGGTCCAAATATAAATTCCTATCATCTTATCTTTTAAAAGTCTATGTTGTTTCTAATGGTTTTTTTAAAATTCTTTTTTAAAAAAAGACAAAAAAATACAGGAGGAGTTAAGGATGGGAAGATATGGATGCCAGTTTATAAGGTAACTTTGGGGGAAAATAAAGGTCCTTAGAATGCATGTGCTTTCAAATACACACAATAAAAAACAGCGACCCAGAGGCCTGCAAGGAGACAGGAGAGTGAGGCAGTGTCAACTCTGTGCACTTGAGAGGCCCAGCTCCTTTCTGGCCTGACCTTGTACAGCACGCGTGACAAAATACTGATTACTGAAGATTTAGGATTTTTTTTTTAATATGGGAATCAAACTCAAAACCTAGCACTTGCCAAGCAGGCAGTGCACCACTGAGATAAACCCTCAGCAGCATTAAAGATTTTTTAAAATACAGATAAATAAGAATGTATGTAAATACTTTGAAACCATGCTGCACAATGCTGGCATTTTCGAAGATGGTGTCTCTTTTCCATTCCATAACGTCCACGTGCAGTGTGCACACGTAGCTCCACGTGGACAACGGAGCACGACGGCCTGCTCCTCCCATCAGATGATGCTTGTACAAAGCTCAGCCTCAGGACAGCCGCGACTCCAGTTACTCCTTGCAACAAAACGAACTCTGCTCTAAGGATCCTGTAAGATCTTTTCCCTTAAAGAACAGCTCTAGTGCTTTTTTCTTTTGGTGGAACCAGGACTGAACTCAGGCCCTTGTCCTTGCCAGGGAAGCACTTATTCTACTGAGCATCCCCTGAGCCCTCTAGTGCTTTT